TGGAGTGATCAGATTCTTTTAATTTAAAGCAGTAAATGGTTGGTAGTTGAATGAATTGGAAAAAAGTCATTGACCAGATTCTGGTGTACTAACAGTTGCAAATTGGGACTAATTCTACAATATAAGCCTTGAAAGGTCCTAAGAGGTATTTCTCAGGGAGCTGGAATACTGTGTCTTGCTGATGAAAGTCTGAGAAGGATTTTACAGAGACTGACTTTACAGCAGTGTTAAAGATGAGCTTTTAAATGTTGCTGTGTTGTGCCTTGTGACCCTTAAATATATGGTTCTGACAAAAGGGTAGGAATGAAAATGCCACACGTCAGGGTTCAAGTATATCCCGTCAATGCAGTCCAAAAGTATAACAAAACATCAAGCAGCAGATAAGTTATACATAAACAAAATCATGTCAAATAGCTAATGCCTTGCTTGGCCTTAAACAACTTTACAATTTTGGGATTTTTATGTGAAGGGACACATTGATCGACATACAGACTAAATAAATACATTTTCAGCCCTTCTGTCTCTTCATGATACACTGAGATACGTATGCCATTGCCTGCTTGCTTGTTCATCTTATCAGTGAAAGGATATACATTAATACAGAAGCACTCCAGTTTATTGTATCCTTTTCTAATACATCAATTGACATTAGCCATTTCTGTGATCGATGTTTTATTCATGGTACAAATATATAAAACCTAATACCAAAATGGTGAAACACGACACACTCATAGGAATTGCTTTATCCAACTTTTCTTTAAAAAATACTTTTCATTGGTTTCTATGTCTATAATTCTAATAGAACACATTAAGTCTCACAGTAGAAAGGTAAACTGTCATTGGATATCACTTGACCTATAACAATATTGCCTCACTCACAAGCGATGTTTTTGGAGCCTCTCCAGTGTCTTAGAGAACTGTACTGTTCTCCAGTTATGTTTGTACAGTCTGCTCATTTTATTCCTACAGGTTTGGTAGAGTTCCAAGACCGCCTACCCCTAGCTGGTCTGAAAACCAAAAAGGAATCTGGAGTCAGTCCCTGGCACCAAGGGCTCACTTCATTGCAGCCGTACCCACTGTGGCACCAGGGCATCTTTCCAAAAACCCCTCAGTGTCAGAATTCAACACTAATCCACTTCTCTTAAGATTGGGGGAAAATATATTAATAATAAAAAAATTGGATTTTGAATAAATCCCCTTTTAAGTAATCATGGTAAACAAAATCTGTTTGCCTAAAGAAACCCTCCTAGCGGTCGGCTGGTAACACAACGGTATGCGCTAATGAACCCAAAGCTGTTAATGTGGTTTCTTCAGTTAAATTGATTCATGAATTTTGAAGAGAACATTATCTAATGAATTTACTCTGAATAGAAAGCAATTAAAAGGACAAATCAGTCTGATTAACCCCAAAGTCACCCAACTGCCACAATTGGTGTACAGTTTTAAATGATTTTATAAAAACTAGAACAGATTTGCTGTCTTTTTGCCCTCTACTAATCCATATAAATTAATGAACAAAAAGTTAATTTCTGTGATGACCCTATTCTAATATAACCTGGATTATGCTGCTTTGTAATATGGTTTATGTCATAATATTAAAGACTTATCAGACTTTTCAATCAAGTGATTACCTTTCTGTGCAGCCAATAATGCAGTTCAGGTTTTATTTAACCTGCTTTTTCCAAGTAACAACTTAATTTATCTGTATAAACACCACAAGCATGAACAGATCTTCAAACTGCAAAAGGTTGCTCACCTCACTTCCTCCAAACTGATTCCACTAGGCCTAATAGCAGTGGAGTTGCTCTTATTATTTAATTAATAAGTTTTTTTTTTGTATTATGACCTACATTCATCAACTTGTGTTAATAGTGCACCCTGTATGAAGTGTTTGATTTTAATTTTTAATTAGTTGAGACACATATACTTAAAGTACTTTTCTAAACTGAACACATTTTGTATGAGAAAATGAGAATCTTAGCTACTCAAAGCCTGATGTGGTTGTCTTTCAGGAATTCGTTCACCTTTTCTATTAATACACAGGAAAGGATCTTTTTAAAGAAAGAAAAAAGTGCTGTGCCGCTCAAATGAGACCCTTCCACTTTGGCAATCATTTGCTTTAAATTTTTAAGTGATTTGTTTAAATTCAGTGTACATTTAATGAACCACTAGGTGAGTGACGTATTGAAGCCTTGGTATTCTTACCCATTAAGATCAAAGTGGTCAGGCTGTGTATTGAACAGTGGGGTGTTGCTGTATTGCATTTGAACTTCTCTTTCTGTTCACTTTTGCAGCTACATTCACCAGCCGAGTGTTACAGACCCTGCTGAGGGATGTGAAATTTGGAGAAACAGTGTCTTACAAGCACTTAGCAGAAATGGCAGGCAATTCCAAAGCAGTGCGAGCAGTGGGAGGGGCAATGAGGAGGAACCCAGTAAGTAGAAGGCAGCTGGAAAAAACATTCATTCTCTGAGTGATATGTCACATTTTAGTATTATACAGGATGAAATATATACTCTTGTGGTATTTTGTATTTATTGGTATTATATTTACAGAGGCATTAAAAACTCAACTTTTGCTGTAAGTTCCAATGTTTGTGGTACTTTAATGTCTCTCAGTATCACTGATTTTAAAAAACATGGCTGTTTTTTTTAATTATATGTTTAAGTTCTGCTTCTGTATCATGCATGAAAATAATTACAAGTAAATCACTACCTTAAGGATAAGAGCTAGTATTTACACTCTTGCCACTTGTGTGGCATGGTGTGCAGTCTATGCAAAGTGATAATAAAGGAGGACTTTGAATATTCAAAATCACAAGCAATAAAATTAAATCTTTACTTATTGATGAAGCAATGAAAATTCTAGGATTCCAATGTTAGAGAACAAAAATATGATTTTTTTCCTCTAATTGCTGTAAAACTTTGGTCCCTGAGCTGCTAAAACTGAAAGCAGATTTTTGCAACAAGCAGATTGTTGCTGTTGTTTTTAGCATTTTAATCTTTCCTTGGGACATGCTTTAAAAATTTCTAGTGTGTCAATGAAGCAACTTGAAGAAGGCTTTACATTTTGTATTCAACTAAATAGAAGCAACTGTACATGATCCGGTTTTCCTGCCACAGCGATGAAGTCAGGGGTGGTGCGATATTCCTGTGATACGTATCCTGCAAGTTTTTTTGTAGTTCGCTCAGCTCACATAATTCATACAATGACCTTCAACTTTATGAGAAGGTATGAAGAGGTGCCGGCAGCAGCTGAGAGATGCAGAGTCGCTTCTGCAAATTATACCAAGGACACTGTTGGGGCAACTCACCTTTTTCAGGAAAAAAAGGAAAGAAACTTCAAATAGTTTTCTGTATTTCAGATTGATTGTGAGGACTGTGGTCCTCAAAGGGCACCCATGGAGTTCAATTAACAAGCTCATTAGAATAGTACAGGAGGACCATAAAGCAACCGTAAAGCCTCATGGGAATTACCGAATGCTGGGCTGATTAGTTCAAGGTCATCTTAAATGGCTGTTCTGAGACTTAAGTGAGATGTCACTAGCAGTCTGTTAACAACAGTAAGGACAATGCCCTGTATATTCAAATGTATAATATCCATCTGGAATCAGAGGTAGAAGCTTACAGTATGTTAGTGTGTAAGTATATATAGTATATATATTATCTATATACATTATACAGTAGTATATGTGAATGCATGAATTCTGCATTAGATAAGCCTTGTGTTTTAAGAATTATTTTAAATTATATTAAATACTTGGCTTAGTTAAAGAATAATTAGCAGGATGTAAATATACACACATGCACACATCTGGAAACAATATCTTACAGGTTTCCTTTACTGAAACTGGGATTTGAAAATGGATATCATCTTAAATCACTCACTCACTTGATTCAGCAAGATTACTATAGAATGTCCTTAAAAGTAATTAAAAATGTGAGATTCCTGTAATTCAATGTATGTGTTGTCATTTATTCTATTAAACTTTGTAAAGGTCAGAGTTTTGCAAAAATGCATATATAAGAAAGAAATACAATATTTTGCAGAAAGAGAAGCATGTTTATTATAACTTGGGTCAGGGAATATGACATTTAAAACTTGAATTTGCCTTTTGCACACATTTCTGAGGCCCTCAGACTTTGCTACTTTCTCAAGTAACACACACAGAAGTTTTTTACAGTTTATGCGAAGTTGTGAAAGCAGTCTGTCTGTGGACTGGGATGGTCAGTTTTTCATTGCATCAAACCTAAAACACTTAGGAATCTTGACACCACAGTTAAACACTGCTCTGACTGTCCACAGACAGGATTTGCTAAATGCAGTTCAAAGACAATCAATACATTGTACAGAGGGTTTCCCTCCACCTTTTTTTAAACAAACGTGTTATCAGGGAGTTAGTTTATTCACAGATTGCCGTGAGCATTAATGACCGCCTGCATCTTGTTTTGCCAGTCATCTAGATGGCTGTTGATAAAGATTTAGCATCATGTTCTAAGTGTCAGGCCTGTCAGTAGTGCTGAACCATTTGACCAGAAGAAAAAACGCACAGGGAGCTATTGATTACAGCTTCTCAGTGTCACTTGTTCACCAGGATTTAGGTATTGATGAGGCCGCAAGTGAAAACAACCTCTTTCCCTTGTGGGCTCCTACCCAGAAGAACAAAATGCAAAGTCTGAGAAAATATTCAGCTGGTACCCGAATCAGAGGGATTCCATTATCGATTGAAATGCTCCTTCATGTTATTTTTGTCGGAGACAAATCTATGGTTTTGGAAGTTTTATAGCATTTGAAATAGGGGCTGTGTAAATGATGGATTTGTGTATTGGATGAATTAGATTTCACAGCATGTGTGTTTCAATGCAGCTGTAAGACCACCAACTTCTTGATTATTAATAACAAAAATTGAATCGTATATAGTTAAGCCGGGAAGAAAAAGTGCTCATTTTCCCTTAACTACTTTCTGTGGGGATACATAAGCAATGAGAAAGATGAAAATCTGGTGCTCCTTTAATGTTGAAATTAAAACTGGTAAATATTTATCTCTTGGTAAATATGAATCTTTGTCTTGGGCAGCTGGAAAAGTGTCAAAATTCATGGAATATTCTAGGGTAATTTTGTTTGCTTTTGTTTTTATTTATATTTATTATTTTTATTTTAGCAATAGCAGAGGTAGCATTTACAATAAAAACATTTACTTATGTTGACACTAATTTAATATTGTTTATTCTTTTAGTTTATTTTTTGCATTTCCGCTCAATGTTTTGTGTTATGTCCTTTGCTTTTTCTATAGGAAACCGTACTATTAGATTAAAAAAAAACATTTTTATGTTAAGAATTTGAAAATTCAGTTATTATTACAGTATTGTGTTGAAAATATTATTGGTCCTCCAAATGTGATTTAATAAGATAAATCAATAAGCTTGTAATTTTCTTAGAACATACTTTTTGACAAATAAAAAGGTTATTTGCACGTCATTAAATGAATTTTAATTGTGTGACCTTTTTTGAAAATCTTTTCAAACTGTTAATCTAAAAGGAACTTAAACGTGTTCTAGATTAGTCTAAAGCTTGTCATTTTGGGTCTCCAGTACTAGACACATTGAAAAGACATTGCTTTTAACTAAATTGTAAGCAAGTGGTGTTAAGCCAATTTAGCAAAAGTAAATAAGATATGTGAAGTGTATTTCTTATTGTATAAAACATCATGTTGCACAGCTATGGCTTAGAAACTATGAAGTGGAGAAAGGAGATTTTCTTTTAACAAACTGTATAAAATAACATGTTATACAATAGAAACACTTAAAGTAACTGTAACTTTTTTGTGAGTCAGATAATTATTATCCCGATCATTAGCTTTTAGGTTAAAAGAACTTTTATTGCTCAGTCCTCCTACTTATTGGTACCCAATCACCATACGTTGGCATCTAGGATTTTCAACTAAGATGTTTAGGTTACTAACACAGAGTGAAGCTATTAAAAAGGATGTAATTGATGCTATACTTATAAGTTTAAGTGAGCATTTGAGGTTTTAAGAGTTGTATGCATAAGAAAACATTTGTACAAAGGATATTCAGAAATTTTTACAGCTTCATTTTTTATAATTGCTATTCAATTATTTTTTATATTTTTTGGTATTTGTAGTGTTGAAAGCAAAAAAAAAAACTTTAGGGAAACTACCTCCACATTTAACTTAAAGCATTTGTCCATTTTAGCTTTTAAATCTAAACGCACCAAGCATGAGCTGAGTGAAATTCCTCTTCTCAATACAGGAAGAAAAATCTGTAGGAATGTATTTTTTCTATCCTGGTCCTTCCTGACAAAACAATCCCCCAATTTTCCACAGTCACTAGTGCTATTCTACACTGGTACTGTGCTGTATGCATTTGCCATTTGTACCAGTCACACAACAGCAATTTGATTGAAACTGTGTGCCACGTTTCATCACTTGCACTGTTGAGAAGGCATAGTTTTCTTTGAACTTCCAAAGGTGCTGACAAGCTTTACTCCCAGCAATGAGTGGAGTGGCCAGCTTGCAGCTGCTTGGCCAAGGTAGCCATGTTTTTATTTTAAACATAATATAAATGATTTCCTTTTATCTTAATAGTTAACAGACTAGTCACAAAGCAAGGTTCCTTTGCCATCTCATGTTCGTTATCTCAGCAGCAGTGGTGTTTAAAAAATCACCTATAGACCTTCTTAGCAGTCATCTGTAGCAAGCAGAGTAAATGTTGCATTGGCTTCCTGTTTTTAATGATCTAAGGATCATCAGATCTTAATACAGATGCCCCTAAATTGAATATTAATCATGCTAATGTTTTTCCCTATTCATTTTTAATTGCCTCTGTATTTAATATCAGTAGATAATAAAAAAGAGCATTAATGCAGAAAGATGTTCTTTCTTTGCTTCAAATATGGATAAAATGTATGTGGTGTCCAGGAGAATTTTCAGATCTATGCTAATATGAAAGTAAGTCTTCATGGATTGAGAATCCCTTTTTATACACAGAAACACCTTATTTATGACAACCACAAGGTGTGTGTATCTGAATATTTAGCATTGGTCAGAGGGCTTTTAATACTTTTTTTTTTCATATACCTCCAACTCTTTTACTTGACAGTATTGCTGATTTCCAAACAATGTACCTCACCAGTCTGGTTTCTCATACAGTATATTGTGCAGGGAATAATTGTAATCTTTTACACAAGGCATAGCAAACTGACCCATATTAAGACAATTATCTTGATTGGAATAATAAGATAATTAAGAGGCTTAATGTCCTTTTTACCATAGCATAATATTTATGGACTGTTGTTCATTAAAATTCTACTAATTTAGCTATCAGTTTAATCAACAGAAAGTATCTCCTCCAACGTATTATACTTTAATTGAATATTTGTGTTTTGTCTTGTAATGATTTATTTTCAGATTCCTCTTCTTGTTCCTTGCCATCGAGTGATCTCTTGTAATGGAGAAATCGGCAACTATATGGGAGGAAAAGGAAATCATCTGAAACAATGGCTACTGACACATGAGAAACTCTGAGAAACAAGCTGTGCAACGTGTTGGTGCCATGACCACCCCTCCCCCCACACTTCACAAACACCAACTCTTGCCTTTGTAGACGCAACTCTCCTCAACATATTACAAAACATACAAGAAATATAACAACCTTCCGAACATGCTTCAGCTATGGGGAAACCTGTAAATATTTGAGTGACATGAAAACATAATACAGCATCAGAAGTGAAATATGTGGTGGCACCACTATAATAAAAAAGCTCAATATATCCTGAGGGACAGCACTTATATGCCCTTTCTTGTTTTTACATTTTACAGCAGAATGAATACAGCAGACTGTGCCTGTTGTGTGTATTTTGTTCCTGTCTCCAGCCCCGTTTTGTTCTATTTTTAATGCCCATGAAAGCAAGGAATAAAGGGGGGGTCATTGGGGTGGGGGGTGGGAGGGGCATGGGAATATTAGACAGAGCTACCCCTTTAAGGAAGCATCTGGTTTGTGGGGAGGACAGACTGCAGTCTGGAGCTTTGCACGTTACTGGGAGCAAAATGAAATTGGAAAGCTTCACCAGCCTCAACGCCCGCCCACTGCCCCCCTTCCACCCCCCTTCCATACTTTAATTCCTTCCTTGCTTTTTATTTGCCCAGATTGTAAAACTGTACTCTGGCCAAAAACTGTGCCCAAGGTTCCACTTTTTTTCTTTGAAGTTATAACTAGTGAAATGATGTTTTACATAAACATGTGTTAATGGAACTTCTTACCAATTCAGCTGTTGGAAATGACATGGACCGACCTTTTTCCCCCTCATACTTCAGAGTGCTAAAGAATAACATGTCTACAGAATTTTGTAAAAATATCGTAAAGAATCTGCTTGGTTTTCAATTGTACGCATGGTGACTCTGCACCTAAGCTTGGGAATTATTCTAATTTTTGTTTATGTAAGTTCATTTCAGAAGTGGTTCATTTGTTTTGTTTCTTTAAGACCACAGAGCAGTATATAATGTTACCACATAATTTGTGGAGACATCTGTGTACTTCACATAATAAACAGTCTTACTTAGAGAACACTAAAATCAAAAGCAGCTGTAGAGAAATTAAAATTTGTCCTTAAACTGTATTAAAATGGATACTTGCATATAAATAATATGTATGAAAACATCAAATGTATCAGAAGTGTATGTGGGGGTATAGCTTTCGACTGAGCCTTAGTTTTCAGGAGTGCTTTTTTAAACAAGTGCACTTGTTTGATGTTAGAGAGAAAATATGTTCACTTTTGCCAGCCAAGTTCTTCATTTTTTATTTTATTTCAATAGACTTTCTGTGTAAAATTTAATCTATGGTACACATAGTATATAAGATGTGATTTGCAGGAATACCTCAAGCCTTTATAGTTGAGGAATGTACACTTTTTTGTTTTCCTGGCTTACTGTACTCACCATTGACATTTTGTTAGTTTAGTTCTTTAGGCATGAAGACAGTTGTATTAATAAAAAAATACATATGTGCAAACTGTTATAAGAGGTGAATTCAGTGTTCTTTCAGAGTGTTTGGAAGGTCTGTTCAGTTACTTGCTTTGATGTTAATAGGAATTATATACTGTATAACTTTAAAATAAAATGAAACATTTACACCATTCCTTGTAAAGTATTACTCTTTGATTCAATGTTAGAAGAATAAATAGTCAACATAAAGAGGCTTAAACAAAATTTCATTCAAATGTTACATGTTACTTATGAACGCCTTTAGGAATTTGATGCACTATCTGCCACATCTACCTAAGTGTGTCAGTTCAGTTTTTTTGTGTACTGTGTGTTTTCCAACAGAGGGCAGTGCAGTTTAGTGAAATTTCATGCACACATTTTGTAGTAAATATTAAACAAAAATGTGTAATGTTTTCTGATAATTATACAGAATGCATGAGGTGCTGGAATTCATCCTTGTGTGTGCAGTGGATGCGGTGTGTTTAAAGGGAGCTGTCTTTGGACATACTCCCTGGTAATCTGCAGACCCAATTCCTTGAAACCTTGTGAATATATTTATACATACTGTATATAGAATAAGTTACTGCAGCCAGACAGGTAGATGAAGAATGGCCCTTCTTCACCCACTGATTTCTGAGATTGCTAATGATGCCCAGGCTGCAGACTGGAGTGAGCACTAATGAAGGGTGCTGTGACACTAGAACCTCTAGGGGTTCTATTTAAAAAGAGAGGCGAATCCACATTGCCTCTTAGGTGCACTGCTAGCATCCCCTTTCCCACTTATAAAGCTGATTTCACTGTTTGAGTCTTTGCTTTTGTATTCTGCCACTATTTGGGAAGTGTGACCCCCAGTGAAAAAATAGTTATGTTATTGTGATGCAAGGTGAAGAGATTATAGATTTTTTTTTTAAAGGAGCATCATCTTTATTTAATCTGAAGCCGTTACTTGGTTAATTTTTTTTTCTTTTTGCATAAAATGTTTTTACTAGAATATGTAAAAAGCAGCATTTTAAATATTCAATTACTATTAAAATTCAAAGTATGTGCTTGCCAAATAAATTTAAAATATGTATTTAAGCATTAAAATAAAATCAGATCATCTTTCTTTTAATGACTACACTTGTTTTTGTTTAAATGTGACTTCAGGAAAATGCTCCAGAGACAAATTAGTTGTTGTAGACCAGACAGAATGAAAGAATAGTATTGAATTGTTGTACATTGTGTACTGTATGTATGTGAATTGTCATTGTACTTTTTTTTTTGCAAAAATACTGAAGAGTTGATTGCCTATTGCCCAAGTTGAGCAATTCACCTCCTTATGTGTTGTTAAACTCAGTGATATGGAAACTGACTTCATAAATCATCACAGACACAGATAAACTCCCCTGCTCTCACACGCCAATAATAGGAAATCCTTAAGAAGCGTGACTGTCTTTTGTAGAATTCGATGCAAACATGTATTAACTCCCCCTTTCCTCCTATATCTAACACATATAAATGCGTTAGTGTGCTGTGAGGTTTCAAAGATTTAACATAACTTCTGTATAAAGCTGTAATTGCATTTAGCAAAGTGTGATCAGTTTCTACTTTAAACCGCTATCACCAATGATAGTGGTGCTGCCTTTGACAGAACCGCGAATATTGTCAGCCCCTTGCCCCCCACCCAGAATGACTTTATAAACCACAGCCATGCAGAAGCAGATACAGTGTTATGCTCAAAATGCGAGAAGAATATGATTTACAAAGATAGCCATGTCCTTTAGGCTCCAAAGTGGGTTCCACTGACCTATCAGATTTCCTCCCCTTCAGCCTCACTCGCTTTGAACTGCTGACATTGAGGCACGGTGCAGCCAGGCACGACAGCTGGCTCTGCAGCATCTAATACCAACACATGCTGTTTTAGCCCATTTCCAGAGAGAAAGATAATGAAAGATTCAAAAATAATATTTATTTTGGCGGGACTACCTTTATAATGAAATGGATGCCCTTGACCATGGAAATAACTGGATTTGGAAATAAGAAAGAGAAGGGAAAAGAAAAGACAGAAAAGGCCTTTGTCTCTTTGAAAAGTATTTGTGGGTCACTGTTTTGTTTTATATGCCTCAGTATTGTGTTTTGATTTTCCTTTTTTTAGCGTTTTATTTGTATCTTGGAGAGGAAATATTTCCTTATATCTAGTGGTAATGCTGGTCCTTGGACTGTTCCTTTTAAATTCAAAGGAAAAGAGGGCACGTGTGTTCCTTACACAACACTAACTCCAGTAACCTGCATGAATTCTATTTTTCTGCTGAATAAAATATAACTGGTCATGTCCTGTAATAAATAATATATTTCTGATTATAGATGTAGCTACTTTGAAAATACTGCAAAATCCACATCCATGAATTTCTTTATGTTTTTCATTTGGAATATTTCTTCAAGTTATAGCTGTTGTAGACCCCATACAAAGATATGAATTATTAATTCTAAACTACTGACTGCTGACTCGGCTTTTAAAGAGCCATGCACACTTGGCAAGAAATCCTGTAACTCGATATAGTTTACTTGTTTTTAGAACTTTCTCAGTTCTACGAGTTCCAGCAAAGAGTCTTGTGACATTTGAACACTAGCATTTCAATATTTATGTGATTGTGATTTTATTGTATTATTAAAAAAAACAGCCTTCATTTGTACTGAACTATTTCCATATACCTAGCAGTTGGAATGCTCTGAGCCAAAGCAGGAATTTTTTTTAAAAGTATTCATTTCTATTACAAGCACACAGTAATAGTACCAGGAACACATCTTTTCCAATCTTCGTGTCCAGACATATATTTAGAGTTCTTTTTTGATTTACAGGGGATTTGAGAAATAATTGGTCTATTGAAATTTAAAAGGGGTATAAAAAAACCCTATAAGAATTGTATTGACAAATTGTAGAGAGCTGGACAAGATTTATAGCAATCATAATTCCTGCAAGATTGTTATAAAAACTACCAGATTTGGATCTCACAGAGAGCAAAGCTCCAGCAGAAGTCAGAGCTCAAATTCTGCATCCCCCTGGTTTTTGTTAGTCTCTGTATTGGCAAGCTGTGGGTACCATTCCTTATATCACATCTTTTCAACAATCCCAGGTTTTATTTCTTTTTTCATCCGAAGCTCAACTTTACATCTTAAATCTACTGTAGATAACAAATGTAACCCGCTAAGCAAACGCACACATTTATCTATTCTGCACTACAATTTTGCATTATATAAACATTTGTTTTCTGTTTAAATTTAATAAAAGTGGTAATGGATATTTCTTGTTCATTTTTAAACCATTTGTTACCTGAGATGACCTCTGAGTGCTGATTTTATGATTATGCTTTTAATATGTATGACTACAAAATGTTTTATTCACCTTTTACACTCATGACCACTTAATGCAATAATTATAAAAAACAGTTTGGCTACTATAACAGAATCAGAACACTCTTCAGATCACAGTTATGATCAGAAACTATGCAATTCTGCAAATCATTCAATCCAGATCCATTCTGTTTTTCTGAAGAAATTATATAATCCTAATGTCACCAATAACTTGAATATGCAGCCTTCAACACTGTTTAACATCAAAAACTCCCATCAGCCATTGTACTGTTATTAAGACATAAAATAATATTTACATAAAAAACTCAGCTGAGAAATGCTTGAAATGTTTGCCAGCTTTTGTGAAACGTGATCACTGTCTTAAAAGCCATGTGCAGGACCACTGACTATTTTTTCAAGTCTCTTCTCTGGGATTTCAGTTACAGGAATAAATGTTTCATATGATAGCTAACAGTCTCCTCTGGTGTCTATTCTGACTAGTGGAAGTTGCTTTATTTCATGCCAGTGGCAGAAAAAAAAGTACTGTTTTTAGATACAAGGGCATCTTTTATTTTAATTGTATCATTTGTTTCTCAGCTATTGTGATATAACTGCATGCACACATACAGTGGGGGGACATCTGAGAAAGCAATAATCAATATGAAGCTTTACAATTTTTTTAACCTCAGATGAAAATGCAACAGGAGATAGTTTTGCTAACATTTTACTGCAGATGTCCTTTCAAAATATCCTCAATAGTCAGCAATCACAACTACACATACTCTAGGAATTATGCTACAGCTATAACAGTGTATAACAGCCATCAGTCCTAATCATCTCCAAGAGCATAGTTTTGTTAGCCGCATTCTTCTTTTTGGCTCTTGTATCAAACATCTCCTTAAACATTTAAATGTGGTTCAGCTTAGTCAGCTGGAGAGGCCAATACATTGATTTCAAATTATTTATGTAATTTAGGTTTTGATCTGCCTCTGTGTTTGGGGTCATTATTATGTTCAAAACCAAACCCTTCAAACCACAAATCACCCTTCCCAGAGTATTAGATGTCACTAAAGAATGGATTAATAATGTTACCCTCCAATGTATAGTAACTTGTGTTGTTCAGTTTGTGTGTGAGCAAATCAGCCCTCCTCAACATTCAAATTTGGCCTTCACATTTTACTGTATGCACATAACCACTATTTTCATTGTCTTCCCTCACAGCAGTTTACCTTCTTCATCTAACTACTGTATATCTAGCAAGAAACCCTAATCCTCAACATTGCTTTGCCACTGCTTTACCATAAGCTTTAAAAATGTACTAACAATCTCTTATGTGGTTTTCTTTTTTCTTCCATATTGATGTTTTAATGGTTTAATAACCATTTGTGATCCTTTCCTTATGTTGACAAAATAACTGTAAAAGAGCTGTAACTCTCCTCTCATAGAAGCTTTTCAAAGGCAACTCCTTATTCAGTCTTTTGATATGATGAGATTTGATTTGTAATTGAAATTAACAGCATGATGACTGCTCATTTGGAAACAATTACGCTCAGCCTTTTAAACAATGGAGCTTGTCTTATTTTTTGTTTGTGTATTTGCTAGTTTTGTTTGCATTTCTACCAGTTTTCTGCATTCCTTTATGTGAAACATCAACATTTTTTTTCAGTTTCCCTCACAGAATACCCTTGTTTGAAAAGGATAATTATTGATACATGTTCATTATGTTTTATCTCCTCTCTTGAAGTCATAGTAGGACAATTGCTCTACATTCCTTTCCATCCCTTTCCAACTGATTAGGGGATCAGTTCTTGAACATTTGTACATGTTTCTGTTGTCCAAATTAGTTCAGGTTCTAAAGTTGTGTTTAGTTTTGTGACTGAGAAAAAAATATTGTTTCAAAGACTAAACTAAGGAATAACAAAAGTTAAACATAAAAAAAGATGTTCCTTTCAAAGGCAGAAGTATTCAGAAGTATGACTGCCAGTCTCTGTATCTGTGTACATGTGTGTACCCCTGATAGAAAGTAATTCCACCTCCAGCAGTGATTTTGGCAGCAGCAACTCATAGCATCAATGTTTGTGGAGGTATAGAACTACTCAACCAACAAGAGAATTCAACTATGCATGAGATGTAGAAGTTCAGTAGTTTTGTACAGCCTGAATTGTGCTTCTTACTGGTGTTTCTTTTTTTTTGTAAGCCCTGCCTGTTAACTTGTTGAGGCTGTTTGAATTGACACATTAGCCAGGTCTGCTGTTGCTGTCAGTGATCTGCATTTCTTGTGAATTCTGCATCAGTCAAAGCACAACACACTGAGGAAAAGGCCTTGTCTGACACTACTTTGAAGTCATATACATATGCTATAAATTTCACACTACTTTGGACTAAATGGGTCAGTTCTATGTATCATACTATCCTTTAATATTATGGTAAAGCAGTATATACATATATTTGTACACATTCATTTACAATTTAGCTTTAAAATATGTTGATTTTATTTTATTTTTCTCAAAGCATTTGTTTTTAAACCAAACACTGTTTTAAAATTTTGATCCAAAACAGCTTCTAGTCTGTGTGAAGTTATGTGTAGGTGGCGGTTTAAGGCCATTTGCTGAAGCTGGGGCCAGAGATTGGAGAAACTGCAGGTACAGCTTTGTTTTAACTGACTGAGG